CCACACAAGCACAAGCACACAAGCACACAAGCACACAAGCACACAAGCTGATTTGTACGGCAAAGTTGGGTTTGGAAACGGTATCATTTCCTTTTTGGCAGGCATGCTTAACACCGGAGCCTCGCTGCGGGGAAACTTTGGCGCTGTTCCGAGTTTGTTCTAATCCGTCAAAATGACGGACTGCTTTCTGAATATTCGGTTAACGCGACCTCTGCTGCCGGGTCCCACATGAGCTCAGACCCTCTTTTTTTTGTTAAAGCTTTATACCCCAAATCAGCACTTTTCAAACAGGAAGTGAAATAGAGGGGTATGAGGCATGGCTAGAATGGGTGATCTGTTTTGTAGTTTGAGCAAAACACTTCATAGACATGTTTTTTATATATTTCTAACTGAGACCTATGCTATTGCCTAAAAATAGCATGATAGGTGACCTTTAATAAGTAGTTTGATAGATATCATTCTAAAATGGGCCATAAAGCATAACAGACCTTTTTATTTGTAAATTAATCATATTACTTAATATAGTTGTACATTTACTTTAAGATTTCAAAATGCAGGGCTTTTACCTGCACAGAGTATTTTCACAATGCAGTTTTGCTACTTTTACCTAAGTAACTACTTATCTTCCTAGTAACCCACCATTGCCTTATACTGTACATACCATAAATAATCATTACTATAATCATTCTGTTTTCTGTCACAGCCACCTGGTCCGTAACAAAACTGATCTACGTCACCATCAGTGTGTTTGTGACCACAGTCGTCCTCGGACTCTACTTCAGCATACCAGCTTGCCAAAGGTACTTTATTTATTTCAAGAAAGTTCACGTCTAAAAACATTTAAATATAAAGCTTAAGCCCTCATTACCTTGTACTTACAAATGTTCCCATTAAGGAAATATATATCTTTGTAAGACGTCAAAGTAGCAGACTGATCCACTTAAAAGGCTTAATTTACTGGCAAAGAAAATGTTTGAATAAATCACAATTATTATTTCAAATGTGGTATATTTCGTACCAACAGGAGGGTGATTCTGTGGGTGGACTCAGTTCCCTCTCCGGCCAAAAGCAAAATCCTGTCCGAGATTGAGGTAAGGCTGGATATTTATACAGTTCATCTCAATTATTTCCATTTCGTCTGTTTTTGCACATGTGTTAGTTATGTCATAACGCAGGGGTGTCCAAACTACGGCCCGGAGGCCAAATGCAGCCCGCGGACCATTTTGAAGAATCGGCCCTCAGCAAATTAAAAAAGTATAATGACTTAAGTATAATAAACTTCTGCTTATCTTATATTGTACTTCTTAAATATATGTGTTCAATAAGCCCAATTTTCAAATAAATTCAGTCAATTCAAGTTGAAAACATATAACAAATCTAAGTTGATAAGAAAAAAGCCCAATAACGTATTTACATAACAACCTTGAAACATACCCTTCCTATTTCCTCTTATGATGAGCAATCTGAAGCTTCTGTTTTAGGGAATGAGCTGCCCACTAAATAAATGAAACCCTCTGGAGAGCTGGGATATAGGCTGTTTTTTCAAGTATCAGAAATAATTGACCTACATTGGATTGTTTTTTCCAACTCATAACTGAACTTATGACGCAATATACCTCTAGTGAGCGGCCCAGCCCTTCGTATATTTTGTCTGTATGTGGCCCTCGGTGAAAGAAGTTTGGACACCCCTGATATAACGTGTATACTATGTATTTTGTCCTCCAGGCTGCCCCCAGTACCTTGATGCAGAATGAGAGCGCCACCATGTGCAGAGTGCTGAGTTTGGACAGTGAATATACATGGTAATGCATCATAGACAGACAGATAATGAACTCTCTCAAGTGTTGACCAAAACATGGGTATACCTAGCTGCTGTTGTTGTGTTTTTTTCATTGTGCCTTTGGATTAACTTAAAAATAGATACAAAAAGATTATATGGATATATGATAGTGATAATAACAATAATGATAATAGTTATAATTATAAATTCAAATTACTATTATCATAGTTATCTTAATTATCATAGTTTATATAAAAATAGGATGAGAAATGAAACTGTCTTATCTGAACATGGACTTGTAGGAATTTTTTTTTGTTACATTATTTTATTTTCACCCTGGAAATTGGTGAATGTATGTATATGTGTACATATGTATGTGTATGTATATATAGAATTTTGTTTATCTGCATGAGTATTTAATTACGGAATTATCATTTTTTTCTTTATCTGGATGTATAAACTATATAACATGTCTTTCTATCATGCAAGAAAAAGATGGGGAATGTGTGGGATCTTACTGTTATAATCCAGGAATGAAAGTAGATATTTCTGACAGTTTCTGCTCTCTCTTTTTCTCTGCAGCTCCTCAGATGTTCTGCTGTGGCCGACTAAGGACACGGAGAAGAAGCGCCTGCAGGATGAACACAGCTGGAAGTGTGATGACCTTCCCCCCCCCAATGAGAAAGTCAGCGGCTCAGACTCATCCTCCATGAGCTTCAGCGGGCCGTACATCTTCTGCCAGGTCAGTGACTCTCAGTCCGTGTCCTGCCTCAGGTGTACAGGTGCTGAGAAGTTCCCAAGTACTCGGTGTAAATCAAAAACACCAAAGACATTGAACTTGAAAATGTTAGGTTCAATAAATCCAAGCTGCTGTGTTTTATAAGCTGCAATACTGTAAAATAAACATAATGTCTTCCCAAAATCAATGCATATATTTGATGACATTTTAAGACATCTGATTTTTAATGACATACACCCGTAAATGCAGATGAACTCCTGAACACAACAGCCTTAAAGGAAGAGTTTGACATTTTGAGTAATACAAAATACTAGCCCCAAATTCAATGACAAGATTTCACGAACAAAACAAGTGTGCGGTAGTAGGAAGTCGCCGTTTCATGGCAAGAAGAAAAGTATCACATAATCCTGACAGAACGACAACGTGACGTTTTACACTTCTCACAAATTCAAAAAACCCCTACGGAAATTAGAGCATTTACTGGATAGCAATTCAAAGATCAGCAAGTTTAGGTTTCCAAATACATATTAGTCATTAAATTGCAGTCATTACGTGTCTTACTGATCACCATTGTTTCTATCTGACAGTCATCAGAGTCCGAGAGCACATCAATGGCTGTCAAATGTGAAGAGGAAGAGCAAGAAGCCCCAACAGAAGCCTCTCCTTTCCTGCTGAACTTTACTCTTTTTGGGGAAGGCTACATTTGTCTGCCCAACCGCAACGTCTCCAGGTCCACACAGGACCTCGTATCTCACAGCAGTGCAAACACAAACAGCGCCGAGCAGAACCAACAGAGTCCAGTTGAGATGGACGTCCAGTTGGGCCTTAACGAGCCAATCAGCAGCCCCCAAACTCAAGCCTTCACTTCCTGGCCTGAAGGGGGCGCCACGCAGGCCTCGGGGTACTGCCACTTCCCAGGAGCAAAGTGACCTGAAGGAGGACTTAAAAGGCTTTTTCAGCTAAATAAATATAAAGCTTTTCACTTTATGTTAAGCTTCAAGTGCCTCCATGTGAAAAATGCATCATCAGTATTAACAAATGGGGTTTTACACAAGAGAAGGGAACCATTTTGCTTGGTTTTATGTCTTATCTCACCCTGATATCAGGGTTGTTGTCTGACCAATGGAGGGCAATAGTGAGCTGAGCCTGGGATGGCAGTGCAAGGAAATGTAAAGGATGGATTTCAGTATTACCAACAACATATATCTATCTTTGAGCTTTCTTTCCTCACAAGTCAGAATGACACAACAGCACCTTACAATGTAATATAATACAACAGCTCTAATTAAAAGGCTACTTATGAAGTTCTGATTGTTTCATTTAATGATAAGAGAGTTTCTCAGTTTCTCGAGAAAATGTTACATAATTTACTTCCGTATACATTTTCTCACGCATGTAAAATGCTAGGCAGATAATTTCTTACCACATATTCTTAAAGAACTGTGTTGAAATGTAGTCACTTTTATTACTTCCCTAAGTCGGCTGTCTCTGGCACAGCTGAGGTGAAAAGCAGATTTATGGAACTGTATTTTATGAGAAATGAATGTATGTTTGCTGACTGGCGTGTTCGCTGCGGTCATGTTTGCACAGAGGTGTGTCAGTTAGGACCTTGTTGTCAATGTTGGAGCATACATGTTGCTGAATGTATATTTACAGTAGTCTACAGGCTGATGTGATACTGCTATGTTGTGTTGCATGGTCACTCTGTCTGAGGCCTGCAGAGAAGTGTGTTAAATGTAAATAAGTGTAACTTGCCATCTTCTTCATCTGTTATTTACAGTAAACTTATATACTGTGATAATAACTTGAACATGTAAAATGTAGGAGCACAAGTTTCCAGGCTGCAGGGGAAAATGTTTACCTGCTACACCTAGCTAAAACAAAAGCAGTATGATAACAGACCTGCAATAAATCCTATATTCATGACGGTTGTAATCGTTAAATGTTTGTTAAAACTGTTTTGATAAAGCTGTTGAGTCAACTTTAGGTCATCTTGGAAGATTTAGTTTGTGTTTTTTTTATTTGTCTAGCGGTACGTCGGCTACAAACAGTAGCGTGGCGTGGGAAAAAAATTAGGGGAAGCCAATAATACGTCCTTTCTTTTGGGTCGGGGGTGTGGTGGTCAATGTAATAACGTAACCAGATGAGTGATACAGCACCCGGTATCATTTTACACACATTTGTATCCGATGCAGGACTTACACACGCCTGTTATCTAACCGACAGGACCGCACGCACTCTCCAGCCCAAACTCTAATAAGCATTCATTCACAAACTAAATCAGGAGACCTTTCACGTTTTACGTCCTCTCTGTACACAGCTCCAGTTTGGGCATCGGCCTGTCATCAGATTGTATTTGTTGTTGCTGCTGTAGCGGAAGTTTAGTACAATTATTTTTTATGAAATACTCCAAATCTCCACCCTCCATAATTGCACTTGCTTCAGTTGCTTGCTACTTTCTAACGGTGGTGAGAGTGGTGCAGGGACGCTATCTATCTTCTATCGATTCGATTTATGATTCGAAAATTATAAAAGTAGGGTAGACATGTGGATATTATCCGACTGAACAAAACTTGCATTTATCTAACAGGTTCGTTTTCCACTGACCTTATTTCGAGCTATTTTCCTAAATTCTATGGAGGGAAACATGCGCAGCTTACTTCCGGATTTTAGGATGCGTCACTGCAACACTAAATTGATGCGATTTGATTGGATTGTGAGGCAAGGGAAGCCAGCCACCTCTGCCATGGCCCTGACCAATCACAGGTTGGCAGGGGCATCACGTGAGCCTCATCTGATTGGTCAATCCCTCCATTTTTTTTCACCAAGGGAAGCCAGATTCGGCTGGCCTCCTCTCGCAACAGTGAGTGCAATCTACTGTTTCACCATAACATCTAGAGGGGCGCTGTTTGTTTCACTCTTTGTAAAATACTCAATGAGAATGGGGGAGAGACGGGCCGGCAGCAACACACAGCAAAGGAGAATTATCGAAACAAAACAAAGTGTTTTTATTTATTTATTTAAATTATAACTACAATCCGAAAAAACAGGGGAAGCCTGGCTTCCCTTGGCCTCCGGGAGAAAACGCCACTGGCTACAAATGGGGGTTTCTGGTAGTAAGCTATCTGTCGCTCAAGCTAGCTCCCGCTTGATATAGAGTAGCATGTTATGTCTTAGCTGTGCAGTGTCTCTGTCAGGAGTTATCTAGTCATTTGCAACTTTTAAAAATGTCCTTTTCACAGAAATAAAACGTTTTTTAGCAGCTATTGTTCTTTAAGTGTTCGCGCAGCATTTGCCCCTACTCCGTTGTATATTTTTGAAAAACGACATACTTCATATTCACTTTATTTATTGGTATACTATACTATAACTTTAGTTACATTTTTCAGGGCATAATACCCAAACTTTCCTTCTCTCTCTTTCTCTGATGCATAAAAGTGTAAACGCATGAGATACATTTTTAATTACATAACTTACAAAGCTATAGTTGTGGTGACACGTTATTGGACATAATTCACCTCTCGTATTGTGTTGCCACACGGACCCTTGAGTGGGAACACCTGTAGCGTTAGCTTCCATTCCTGCTAGCTCGTCAAGCAGAGCAGTTCATGTGATGACCTCTCTGTTATTAATGGCTAATAAAGATTGGAACTCTGTTCTTAATACACCACCTCCGACTCCCTTTTCCTGGCACTACATAGTAAACCAACCAGTTTCCAATCTTAATATTTAAAAACGTGTTCCCATGGGAATAGATTTATATGAGACTTGTTTTGTCTTGTTAACCAGGAGACATGTCCAGTGTCTGTCTTTATTTGTTTGTGCAACATTTTTGTCTTGTTTTTCAGGTAAGACATTTATGTAATTTGGCAGCTGCATTCTAGATCAGAAGGTGGATAAAACTGCCTCTACAGCCTGCGTAGGCCTAAAGCCAGAACCTCTCCTTCTGACATGAAGGAACATGAACACAAATACACACATACACACACACTAATTTATTGCTCTGTTTATCTGCACATCTGTCAAGCCTGATGGAGCTGTGCATGGCTCTGTCAGTGTGTGTGGTGTAGAGGCATGTATAAGGTTTCAGTGCTATCTGACTGCTACACACATTTATATGAAGAGACATATTGTGCACAAGTCTTTCTTGTCTCTGTAGAGAAAACACAATGCTGGAATTCCAGGCATGCCGATATCGACTTCCTGTGTTTTCAACCCATCGCTAGGTACAACTTCCTGTCTGGTGAGGCTGAGGATCAGTTTGACACACTGACTGAGTCATGATGCCCGCAAAGCGATAACCCACTTTTATATTTGACCTTGACTTAGGTGGTAGAAGGTGAGGGGAAGGTGATTTCATGTGTTTTCCCAGAATTCCTTGCTTTTTTTTTTAGATGATCAGTACCAAAAAACAGTCACATTCCTCACATTCACCGTCGGTCGGCTATTGTTCCATGGAAGGAGAGGGGGATTTTATGAGAACGGGTGACACACTCATGTTGATCTGCATCGTTGATAACAGAAAAGAAAGATGTGTCTTCATGGAAAGAGTATGTGTGTATGGGTTCAATTGTGTACAACATGTCCCTGTCTTTTTTCGTACATAATAACAGGAAAATAAAAAGCCCTGGAACGTGTGAGTGCGTGACGCCACACGGATGCTTGTGTAACCTCCTGTTCAAAGACCTCCTGTTTCCTAACTACTCAACATCAGGGAATCCAGGTCATACCCAAACACAAACAGTTATGTCTTGGAGAGAAGCAGTTCTTTTAGGACAGAAATATATTGTTGTTTGCATAAATGTTCAATTTTTTTCAACTCTTAAAGTCTGAAATCTGTCCTCAAGGCATCCTTCTGAAACCTTTGATGAGTAATGATATGCTATGTTACACCAATTCAGTAGAGACAACCACGTTTAAATACAAATAAGCGTATTTAATTGGCCCAAAAAATAAATGGTGGGGGTCCTCTGTCCTCTGATCAATGAGATAAGAGAAAATAATAAAACATGAACAGACTTTTAAGTAACGCAGAAGCTGCTGTTGTTTTGCCTAGATGCATACTCCAAGGGTTAGGGTTGTTTCAATGCTTAAATCCACACACAAACAAACATTTTTCAGAAGACATTTTACTCATTCATTCTCTAAAGATATACCCTGATCTCAACCATACCCACTGCAAACCCTAATGCTAACATCACCAACTGTTAAACTCTTTGAGGCAAAGGCTTTGATTGTGTAGTGGTACCAATTGCCCAGATTACAGCTAATGAGGGTAAGCTTGGGAACCAGTTCCACTCAACAAAAAGGCCTCTTTAATTCAAGGAAAATGCATTTTAATAATAAATCAATGCCTCTTTGATAATTAGGGGGTTTGGATAAAAATAAACCATTAAACAAAATAAAGCTTGTGGGAAAATGGCAAGTGGAAAGGTGTTGTTTGATATACAGCACGGTTTCATTGCTCAAAATCATTATAAAACAGATAAGTTAAAGGGCCCATGTCATGGCCATTTCTACTGATCATAATTCCATTGTTGAGGTCTACTAGAATAGATTTAAATTGTGCAATTTTCCAAACTCACATTGGTTTCTCATACAGCATCTCTGTATAGTATGTGTATTCACTCTCTGTCCTAAACGGCTTGTTGGAGCTCCGGCATGACGTCATGCGGTTCCCGGAAGAAACAAATAGAAAAAGAGAATTCTCCAACGAGGCGTTCTGGGGCAGCAGAGACAGGTATTTTCTGTGTTAGAGTTTTACTCGCTACAGGGTGTACTTTGAGGGTTTGTGACTCTTCAGACCGTTTACATGCAGAAAAACCTTCATAACACACAAGGGGATGGGTAATAACCAGAAAAGCATGACATGGGACCTTTAAGATAACTAAAAAGTCTGAAATGGGCCTAAAGGCTAAAGTACCTGACTGAAATTAGGTTTTCTATGAGTAAAGGAGGGCTTATAGTGTCCTGGGTGTTCAGTTCTCCACCTCTCTTAAGCCTTAAAGAGAGGGCGTCGTCACAATCTGATTGGACAAGAGGGTAAATCCTCCAAGCTGGTCTCAATTCATAATCAGGAGCGAGTCCCCACACTGTGTTCAACAGGTGCTCTGAATCACCCTCTAATCAAGTCAGGGGAACATTCAGCTCAAATATAATTGCTAAAAGTCAAACAATCACACAGTTTAAACTAATGAAAATGGTCGAGTCACGGTTTGTAATCAGGTTGGTCTTTGTTGAATTATGCATTTGGTTCAGGTCTTTATGATCATTATATTGTTCCGGTGGTTGTTTGCTGGTAACAGTGTTGTTGAGACCCAACAAGCCACATCGCCCTTTCAGGTCAGCCAGTGAGCTCTGAACCATCTCAGGTCTTTAGTCACAGCCTCTGGTCCCTGAGAGACCCTCCCCTCACTGTCATGGTGGTTGACCCCTGTGTGTTGGTCACAGTCAACAGGCCTCCACGTACTTCTCTTTCCCGCCTCTTGTTTGAAGCCCGCGGGGGGTGGGGAGCTCCTCGGACACCCGCGGAAAAACAGTTATCCCACCTCGATGCTGAATTTGGAGATGGCCTGCTGTTTAGAAGTAGTACGTCCTTGTGAGATTGGCAGTAGGGCAACGGGAAGTAATGCCCGAATACACATTGAGTTTTACGAGATACGTACAGAAGGGATTAAGGGTGAGAAGCAGCTTCCTGCAAACCTAGTGATTTATGCACATTATGTCAGACCAGGGATGAAGACCATAATTAACACTGCATACATGTATAGTCTAAAGATAAATCTGAGGATATTTATTGCGTTTTCAAAGCCATTCCTCGTATGATTCCATTTAAACAGTGGAGCAGATGTCTCCTCGATAATTAGCAGACATAACCGTGCAGCTGTCTGCTGAGTCGGGAGTTTCTGCAGCCAAGAGTCAAGTGGGTAAATGTGAAAAACAAACCGCAAAGAGAGCGTGTGCCAGAGTTCACCTACAGTACATCAACCCCCCACTCTT